TCAACCTGCAGCAAAAAGGAATAACCACAATCATAAATTCAAGTGATCCCTTATTTTGCTTAATAACCCCGGAGTATAGTATTTTACTTTCACACTATGTGTCTTCCATCCTTCTCCTATCGTGGCATCAACGCCTGTTCCCTGGAGCAGTTCTTAATGTACTGTGTGCTGACTGTAGTGGATAGCATGCTTGAATGTTTTGACAGAATGGAGCAACTGCAGGTAGTAAAGTTTAAGACTGTAGTTAATTATTTGCAGGAATGATCTGCCTCCTTCTGAGAGCCATTCATACCCTGGCACTATTAGTAAGCAGTCCAAGGGTTAAGCCTGTGAAATGAATTCTTAGAAGGAGCTTGGACTTTCAGAGTAGCATGCCGAGGACAGTCATCCCTTCTTCCCTGGCAGCAGGGTTGAGAGATATGCATCACCGAGCGGTTCTAACTGTATTTATTTGCCCCGTTGGTCGGATCTGCGAAGTCTTTTGAGAGGGCCGGGTCCACAGAAAAGGATAAGTACTCAAATTTGGTAATAATTAAGTTGGAGTATTCTCCGTAGATCGGCGGCGTGTTCCCCCGTTAGACTGGAGAATGGATCTTGGCAATAAAATGAGAGCTATAATATAGTTTAAGGTATAAATGCAAGTCAGAGCTCATGTCAGTGCCCAGAACTTGATGTTTAGTGTGTGTTGGCGCCATTGAATTCCTCATGTCACCTGCTGTTTTCAGCACCGTTGCCTGTCCGATTCTGAATTCCAAAACAATGAACTGCTCACCTTGGATAGTCCAATAACAAGATCTGTGAAACCTAAAAAGGGGTTGCAGTTGGTGTGAATGGGTCAGCGTGTTTCGTCTGACAAGGCTTTAAGTCCTTGCTCCCGAGCAGGGTTTAACACGGCCCGACACTGGGTTTCGATAATGGGATAAGTTTACTTTAGGATTAGTGTATGCATTTCTCTCTTCTCAGTAATAAAGATGCTTGAACGTGACTATAAATTGTAAGTTGTCTTCAATGTGTTTTTAAAGATTGACCAAATAAATCAAGGAAGCCATATGTTGTGACACAACCCCCTCGCCTTTTGGAGTAAAATAATTATATATACAAGTATGCACATATACAGTGATTTGTTACAGCTGTATGAACGGCATCTGTAAGGTTAAGCACCTGACCTGTGACCCAACAGTCCAGTACAAATGGTGAAATGCTGGGTGATGGTGATTGATACGTGTGTCACCCTGTCGTTTTTGTAAATAAAGGATCAATCTGTTCACTGTAACAATCACTAAAGTTGTCCGAAATGTAGAGAAAAGTAGAACTGTATCAAAACTGGCGTATAAATGTGACATTTAAACAGATTACATCAACACATTTGAAATTGAGATGATCAAAGTAATACTAAATTCAGTGTTTCAATATACGCCATGGACAATTTCCGTATTTGTCTGAATTCTGTTAAGATATGTCGTATATAAGGAATTATCGCCCCCAGGATCAATAAAGTAACCGATACATCAAGCACCCCCTAAAAGAGAGAAGGTCTTTGCGTTAAAGGATGGAAATAAGTAAGTGGCTTTGCAAGATGGCACAACCCGTTTGTGCAAACAGAATAGCTTAATTTTGTAATCGAAAAGGGTGTGTTTCAAATACACATAAAAAATGGGCATGAGTGTGTTCATCAGAGGTCAACCAACAGAGAAACGAGCGCTGAATATGAAACAGCATCAGTTAACGTGTGCAGGGTGTGTAGCGCTATGACTACCAGACTGGCTGATGCACACAGAACTGTGCATGGTGGGAGAGTTAGCAGCAGGGGGTTATGGTAGATATGGTGGTTATGGCTCAGGGCAGAAAAACTGTTCACCATTCTGGATGTGTGGGCATAATTGATGTCATCGTTTCAGAGGAAAATGTTATGCAATGAGTATTTCATTAGACTTTTCATCTTCTTCATCTTCTGAACTGTCTTACTCTTTGTGTTGGCAAGTGTTGATGGGAGCTTTCTTTTCCCCCCCTCTGTTTCTCAGGTTTCTTCAGATGTACTCCTCTCCGCTCCCTGTCTGATCATTTTGTAGATCATCATATTTGCTCAAGACTAATGCCTTAGTTCTGACTAGACATTAAGGAATACATTTATTCTGTGTATATATAGTTTTTTTTGAAATCTCCAGTAGGAATTCAGACAACAACCCTTCACCCGTATCACCCTCCTTCCCCTCTCCCTTTTTCTCTTTACGTCAGATTACGAGGGTCATCAAAGCAAACTTAAGACACACAAAAACATACACACACAGGCCACCATGTCCTCCATCCTTCCCTTCACTCCCCCGGTAGTTAAACGTCTCCTGGGGTGGAAGAAGACTCCAGCTGGGAGTGGAGGAGCAGGGGGAGGAATTGGAGGAGTAGGGGAGCAGAATGGAGGAGGACAGGAGGACAAATGGTGTGAAAAAGCTGTGAAGAGCCTGGTGAAGAAGCTGAAGAAGACCGGGCAGCTGGATGAGCTGGAGAAAGCCATCAGCACGCAGAACAGCAACACAAAGTGTGTCACCATACCCAGGTGAGATGAGGACACACACACACACACACACACACACACACATACACATCCTGTTTTTTTTGTTTTTTTTTTCCTTTCTGGTTGTCTTATACATTTGTACACACACATATAACATAGTTATTGTCACAAGGAATAATAAGAACCACATCTGCCACGATATACTGTCTCTCCCACTCATACACGTTTGTAGTTTTGTCATACTACAGGCAGATTGATTGATTAAGAACCAACATGTTTGATTGATACATATGTATATATATGTCTTACATTTTTAATGATCAAAACCAATTGATTAACTGGCAGTTTTTTTCAGCAGTAACATACTTCAAATCGAGCTCACACTCACACTGGTGTGCACTGGCATACCACAATACCACCGATACAGATCAGTACAACGAGATGTGTAAACACACATGAAAGTAAGAACGGGGGTAACAGTCACACCACAAGGGTGCAGAAAGAGTCTCTGTTGTGCAACAACAGGGCCACTTCCCCAATCGGTTGTTCCATAGGTTAGCAAGGCAGCAGAAGTGAAACCTGATTGGAGGAAACAGATGTCCCACACATACCAACCAAACTTGCTTTGCATTGAGCTTCTATATGCAGAACGCATATCCGTGCATTCACGTTGCATGCAGCGTTGTTGATTGTTTGCTCTGTTCAGGTGTGACTGGCTCTGATCGTGCCTGTGCTGTAGTGTTTTGCAGCTACAAAATTCTGAACCGCCAAACCTTGTTTCGGTATTGCCTTTCATCTCATTACGTGATTAGATAGGTCGACGTAGCTTGTTATAAGGTGCTACTGAGATTAAGATCACAGTAATTGAATCAAAAGGAATTCAATGATTTGAGAGTTTATCATAGGCACTAACATTTGGTGACATTCTAAGACATTTTGTTATGTATTCAAATAGTTTAGGTGTAGAGATGCACTAATGCTTTACTTCGGTACTCGACATTGGTTGCTCCACTTAATAAAGTACTTGCTGCCTTAATCTGAACAAGTTCTATTGGTGCACCTCTAATGGCTGTTTCGCATGGCGTTATGTGTTTACAGTGGGCTTTTATGCACACATCATCCCCCTCAGTCACACAGACTGTTTTATATTATAGTGAAGGTTGTCTAAGATCTGTAACAAAACAGTAGGAAGAAGAAATAGTAAAAAGAGTATTGATATTAAATAAAAGCAGCGCACAGCTGTGTTGAAGTTGAATAGTTTGTGCATCCAAACCTGCTAATACTGTAGATACTTAGCCTGAATGGTTACAGGTCATGTGTCTTTGAGTATAGATTTCTCCTGTGTCGCATGACTACCTACACGGGCCAAGTCACCAGACCAGGTGAAACCTTATCATGACAAAGGTGGCAAAGTCAGGGGAGCCCCATGAGAAGCATGTGATTAACGTCAATCAATCCACTGAGGTTCAGCAGAAAGGGGAGATAACTCGGCTGCTCTGTGAAGATTTTATGAGCTTCCCTTCTCAGATTTTCTGTGTAATATACCCCCTCTCTTCTTTCCCTTTGAGTTTCCTTTAATTATAAACTATCAATAATAGAATTGGTCCCTGCAAAGAAATGGTCTTTTCTTATGCTACACTCCACACCCATGTCAGCCACAAATCCGCTCACCTGGAGCTGACAGGGGATTTAGTGTCCCGCTCAAAGACACTTTGAGAGCCGCTTGTTTTTAAAATGGTGTCTTTCGCTGAAGAATGCTATTTCTCGTCACACCACCACCCTAAGTCCACAGGTTAATCTGACAGATAGGACTAACCGTGGGAAGAAGACTTCATTTCCCCCCTGGATTACACTGGATATTACCCTGGGAATACCGGGATCCAGACAACAATCGGATAGTGTATTAACAGAATTGTATGGACCTCTATCTATGCTAGAAGCTGGAGAGGTGGCAAGAAAAATAAACATGGCCCTGTTAGCAGAGGTGTTGCAAATATACTGTGTACCCATTTGTGTGTGTTTACATTTCCTTTATCATGGAAGGGTCTCGAGTGATGTCAAATGGTGATGTAGCAGGTGGGTGGATAGTTTCTCTCTACTGTACTGTATTGCTGTCTGATGGCATATCTACTGACGTCACCAGGCCTTCATGAATGCTGTGTAGATGTACACCTTGCTTTGAATTATATGGTAAATGGACTGTACTTATATAGCGCATTTCTAATCTTCGGACCACTCAAAGCGCCGTAAAATACATGCCACATTCACCCACCTCACCTTAGTGGTCAACCCGAAGTTATAAAGAAGGTCAGTGCAGGTCAGTGGAGCAAGTAAGTTTACTAAGTAAAGTATGAAGCAGGGCAGTGCTAGAATACCATGAAAGCTCAAACGAGTACATGAAAACATAGAGTAGATATTGAGCCAGAATGACTACACAGCAGCATATTTACTGCATATATGTTATATACTGTGTGCTGAACAGTATATCTGAAACTGGTCTCATTGTTGAAGAAGAAGTGGGCAGTAGTAGGAGGAATACTGTAAATAGAAAATGGGTAAAAAGGAAACGTGAGGCTAAACTGTCTGATGGCAGGCCTCTCTCTGTTTCTTCACTCTGAGGAATGTAGGCTAGGTAGTAGCTTCTGAAGTGGTACTGATAAGGTGATGGTGGTTCTTAGACATTCACTTGAATACTGCTGCTGTCTTCAATCTCTTTTTTTTTATCTCAGGATTTCAGGGTTTGGACCATACAACCGACATCCTTTCAACTATACAATGAGTCATATCACCTTTTTGTATGGCGTTACTTGATTGTGCTAAACCAGTCGGTTAGGAAGGCAATTATTTGGTACACAAATAAATGAAAATACTTGATGAAGATGTTTTTGCTCACTGTTAACTTAGTGTCACAGGGCTCAATAAAAACACAGATTGTTATTAAGGGACAGGTAGCCTGTCCTGTGTTCATCAGAGTTTAAACACTGGAATTAGTGAGTTTAAACCGATGGTTGTCTAAAGAAAGTGTTTTTGGTTACCATATATTTTCACAGATTGATGCTGGCTTGGATGAAATAGCTACATAATAGGGGCAACCCTGCCATTAAATCGTAGGTCCGGATGTACTACTTGACAGTGCTAGTGTTAGTGTTAGTTGTCGGGAGATAGCCTCCAGGCCTTCGATGCATAGCTCACTTCCTACAGTGAAGTGAGGTTGATAAAAGTCTATGATAAATCGCTCTGGCTCTTGCATTCGTCGTTTTGGTTTTTTTCTTTCGGGTGGTGGAGGATGTCAGGGCAGTGTCTTGATGATTGTCCAGAGATAGCAGCTGTAGGGCTTGGTAGATTTCAGTTTGAGTGGAGGTAAGTAATGTGATAGAGGAAAAGCACAACATATATATAGTATCCTTGTTTAGTAAGAAGGTTTTTGAAAGACACTGTAGAGATTGTACTGGCGACCTTTAAAGGACCATTATGTAGAATTTAGTGGCATTGAGTGTTAAAGTTGCAGACTGAAACTAACTGAACACTGTTTACATCTGTTATTGATGACCTCGGATTAAGAACAGGCTGTGTGGAAACATGGTGGTTTAATATGACTGACTCCATGGAACGCTCCATGTGGGGTCTGTAGATAAAAATGTATCATTCTAAGGTTATGAAAACACAACGATTCCTATATTCATGTGATTTATACACTAATAAAAATATACCGATGAATATTATACTCCATTTCTCCCAATAGATCCTCCTTTTACATCCTGTTACACACTGGACCTTTTTAAGTGAGAATGGAAGAAGGCAAGACATGAGCTGTGTCTGGAGATACAGTATAGATGGGGTTTGATGTTGTAGAACTGTTAGGCTGATCAGTGTTGAGATAGCAGGTCTTGTACAGACAGGTCTGGCAATTACTTTGCTCTGATCAGACAACAGAATCCCCTCTCCTCCTCTTCTCTTCTCTTCTCTGATCCAAGCTTTAAAGAGCAAGTTAGAAATGTTTGGGGTGTGTTCTTTCTTCATACACACCCTTTTGTATTTTCTATACACACATTTGTGTTGTATCTGTTTTTTTTATGTCACGTCTTGACACATTTGTCTATTGAATTTCTTTATTTCCCCATTCACATATCATTGTTGTATAAATGCATATTTCCTGTTTGCTTCACATGACACTTCCCATGTCTGAGAAATAATATGCAGAAATGTGAATCATGTGTATGTGTACAGATATTATGTCAGGCATTGCAGGAGGTTATTTAACCTAAAGCCTTAAAAACAAGTAAAATGATCAGATGTGTGAGTATGATCACATATGTGAGCAGGAAAAAGAATTCATCTGGCATCACCTCCCAGCTAAAAGTTTTAACAGGCAGCCATAATTCAATCCTATATACCTCCTGCATGTTTGCACCACATCAGTGTCTGACCAATTTGTCACATGATCATGTGTCATCCAGTTAGTGTCTCTTATTGAAAAGCTCAAGGGCGGATCTTTTTACTTCCTTTCCTTTGTGCCAATAAGAGACCAACTGTACATGTTTGTGATTTCATCCTACTAATTTGGAAAGAAACGCCTCATGTTTACCATCTGTTTTCTTTTATTTTTATCCTTTTTGCACTTGTCCTCTGTGTGTGTTTGTATGTATGCATGTCTTGTGTGTGTGTGTGTGTGTGTGTGTGTGTGTGTGCGTTTGTGTGTCTGTAGTAATTGCTCAGATCTGTGGGGTCTAGGCTCAGGCCACACGATAGAGCAGTGGGACTCTACAGGCATGTACGGATACCCTGACCATGGCAGGTGAATATACTCACATGCACTCAAACACACAATGAGTCCACAATCGCTATTACATCTCTACTTTCCTGCAAACATTATGCAGGAAAAACATGTTCATCTATCCTTCTGTAATCTACAGTATCACTGCACACTGGCTTGTGTGCCCAGTTCTCCTTTATTAAGCATCGGATGACTTTGAGACTGTAATGTAATCGGCTTTCATAATACAACCTCATCACTGCCTTTAGTGCAATAATGCTTTATGTAATACAGGCAATAAGAAAACAATGGACAGAATCTATTGCATTAAGCACATAATGAGTTATGTTCACTGCTCATGCTATCAGATTAGGTGGTACTATTAATTACCCTTCAAAATACATTTATGAAGATGAGTTTAATGGTGATTTCCATAAAGACAATAATTAAAGTGTACAATGAAAGTACTTTTTTTTGTCAAACTAAGTTAGTAAATTATTGGAGCAGAAAAGATGAATGTGTTTTGTTTTTGCACTAGTTTCAGAGCGGTAGTTTCAGAGATCACTGTGACTGTGTAATGGCTCTTTTCAACTGTGCTGATGAATTTCAAAAGCAAGGTTTAGCCATAAAACATAACCAATGCTCTGAACTCCACTGGTTGATGCATTAGTGACCTTCCTTATTTACTCCTTTTTTATTTTGATATTTCATTGGTGCACACTAAAAACTAAAGCACAAACGTCTTTAAGAATCCCTCCTGTCAAGTCGTGGGAACATCACTGAGCTGTTGGCTATCCTCTCTTCCAACCTCTCAGGTCACTGGACGGGCGTCTTCAGGTGTCCCATCGTAAGGGCCTGCCCCACGTCATCTACTGCCGCCTGTGGAGATGGCCCGACCTTCACAGCCACCACGAGCTGAGGGCTATTGACGCCTGCCAGTATGCCTTCAACCTCAAAAAGGATGAAGTGTGTGTCAATCCCTACCATTACCAGAGAGTGGAGACGCCTGGTAATGATCCTTGAGCATTGTGTTTCTGCTACATAGTTTTTACTACTTAGTACTTCTGACTGTGATCTTCAAGGTGCCCTCTATTAAGTCTACAGTCACGGTCGTCACGGCAGCTGATGTTTCATTATCACTTGTATTTTTGCCAGTTTGTGTAGTGTTTATTTTTCTCAGTTTTCTTGTGTTTGTATGACGCAGAATACATTAAATTATACAATTTTAGATTTGTATAGCAAATTTGCCTGTTAGCGAAACTTCCTCTTCTCTGCAGTGTTGCCTCCGGTGTTGGTGCCACGCCACACAGAGATTCTGACAGAGCTTCCACCTCTAGATGATTTTACAAACTCCATTCCTGAAAACACCAATTTCCCTGCTGGCATAGACCCTCCTAATAACTATATACCAGGTCTGTATGCAAGGCAGGAACTTGTTTTTGTTTTGTTCTTTTACACAAAGAACTCAGTCTTTCTGATTATGTGCAGCAGTGTGTTGTTTAAAATGTATTCTTATTGCATGTTTGCGTTGTTGTGTGTGTCTTTTTTACAGAGACCCCTCCGCCTGGCTATATCAGTGAAGATGGAGAGACCAGCGACCAGCAGATGAATCAAAGTATGGAAACAGGTAGACTAGTTGAGTGTTGTGCTAGTGTACATGCTGCTGTGTATCTCACTGGTTGGAGAAGGACTTAGAATAAGGGTTAGAAGATCAGTTTTGGCAACTTAAAATCATTCTACAGACAAACATGATACATGACACATACATCATAGCAGCAGTGAACATAAACAATACAAACACTAACACCAACAACAGCACAATTTACGTACTTGCAATACATACATACATACATATTCATAATACATCTAATACAGATCTTAAAAAGGTAACATGATTTTTTTTCTCTCAGGCTCACCAGCAGAAATGTCACCAAGCACCCTATCACCTGTCAGTCATGGCCTGGGTAAGACTGCTTTATTTGTATAGCTTTGTCACTTTTCTTCAAATTTACTGCAAGTCGATATATAGCTCTTGAAAGTAAAATCAGATGTGTGTGAGTTGTTGTCTGTGATTTATTGGAGAGCCAAGGTAGTTCTAATAATGGGAATAGTGTCATATTGAAAATGGACCAAAAACATATAATCTTTCACCAGAAAAATCAATTTGGATAATAGAAAATATAAAATGTTTCCTCCTTGATTTCTTTTCAGACCTTCAGCCTGTTACCTACAGTGAACCAGCTTTCTGGTGCTCGATAGCCTACTATGAGCTAAACCAGCGGGTCGGAGAGACGTTTCATGCCTCTCAGCCGTCTCTGACAGTCGACGGCTTCACCGACCCCTCCAACTCTGAACGCTTCTGTCTAGGGCTTCTCAGCAATGTCAACAGGAACGCAACTGTTGAAATGACAAGGAGACATATAGGTACAAGCACACACACTGTACACACTGAGATTTACAGTAATTGCTAGTCTGAGTTGTGAGTTAATTCTATCTTTACAGAGAAGGAAACATGTAACAATTATGGTAGTTTTAGGGATCATAACATTTCATGGCTCAAGATGTCAAGCTTATGGGAATTATAGTAGTTTTTGCATTACAAGATTATTAAGTTAATTTTATTATGGACATACTGCTGAATAAACATTATATTTTCTATGGCACAAAATTAAGAATTTCTTCTTGCTCTCTTTTATCTTCACATTTTTCCTGTGTCACACTCTGCAGGTCGTGGTGTGAGGTTGTATTACATCGGAGGGGAGGTGTTTGCCGAGTGCCTCAGTGACAGTGCCATTTTTGTCCAGAGTCCCAACTGCAACCAGCGATACGGCTGGCACCCTGCCACAGTCTGCAAGATACCACCAGGTTTATACACATGAATAGTGTTTCTTCATTTTTCCTTTTTGCCAAATGGGTGCTGTACATCTGGCAAAAAGACTCCTTCCTAGATTGCCTAGGAGATATACTGTAATAATGATTTGAGTTGAGTTTTATCTGGCAGCTTGGATCCATATGAGGAATCAGTATCACCAAACAAAACTCTGTTTGTACATAATAGCTTACAGATGAATATAAAACTGGATTGTGGAACATGACCTTTCTTTTCACCTGATATTGATAAAAGTGAAGCTTGAGGAAGAGTGCTAATGCCCTCCATATTGTGACAGCTTTTCTCAGACTCTCACCCACACACACTGACTCATCTGTACCCGTGTAAGTTTGAACATTTCATTCCTGGCCAAATGAGCAGTGTGAACAGTATCATTACTGAGGCACAGAATTGTACAGAAAGGAAACAAGGATCTTGTAGACATTCAGGGGTCGGACTTGTCAGCCCCGCAGAGAATAATCACCAACATGTAATACGCCCACGCCTCACAACGTCTCTGCATGATGCTTTTAGGTTGTGTTCACAAAAATGGCAAAGTGGAATCACCAGTTTTGAAAATACCCATTATTGTAAAGTAATTCATAGAACACTTTTTGATTTTTGTTTTTTTTAAACACATTCATAAAATTCAGACTTTTCAGGGATAGAACAAAAAATCCTATTCTATTGCTGTACTCAGTATTTCAGTCCACCTTCTCTACCAAGACATAGAGAAAGCTTCTCTATGTCCGAATAAACCCCATCTGTTAGTGATGACCAGCCTATGCCTCACACCTCCTTTTTTCCCTCCTTTTTTCCCTCCTTTTTTTTTAGGCTGTAATCTGAAGATTTTTAACAACCAGGAGTTTGCTGCACTGCTGGCCCAGTCAGTCAATCAGGGGTTTGAGGCAGTCTACCAACTAACCAGGATGTGCACCATCAGAATGAGTTTCGTCAAGGGCTGGGGAGCAGAGTACAGGTAACTTACACTCTCAAGCACATCATTCTCTCTTTTACTATCATCCATGTTGAATGGAGGGCTGTAGGTGTCTGACCAGACCAGAGAGTGGCACAGTAAAATTCATTAATGCATCCTCGTGAAAGAAGTCATGCTTTTATTTTATTTATTGAACCTTTAGGCAAGATATTAAGACCCAATTTGGCTTATTGACATATAGACGATTAGCAGGCAGTGGCTACAGTTGTTTGTCGCAAAATGAACATGAAGTGGACGGTTCTGTTGACATGCTTACTTGGCAGAGCAGTATTACATTAAGTTGGATGGTATGACACAGCAATTATAATGCAGCTTCCTCCAGTTTGAATACCCTCCATATTCGGAAGGTTGATCAATTTACTTAACCCCTGTGTGTGACTCCACTGACCGCAGTGATTCCATTGAAATGTATTGATTTTGATTTTGAAATCTTGCTGATATAAATGCTGCAGTGACAAGCTTAACAGCAGTTATCTGTCTCTGGGCACTGTGGCTCTTAGGTCTACCCTTTCTTGGTTAGGGTGTAACTTTCGTGTAATAGGAATCAGAGATTATTTGAGTTCTATATTCACTTTAACAAGCTTAAGTGGAAAGAAAAACATCAGCTATAATATGCTGACAGCCCTGGGCAGGTTTGCTTGCAGCTCAAAAAAACAGAACGCAAGCAGCCTACGCAAGTGACCTACGCCATTATGAGCATTTATACATTGTGCACTAATGTGCACAATGTATAAATGATAACACAGCCAAAAATGTAGTTGGTGGCGGGGTTTCTATGTGTTGAGTTTCGACTGAAACTGAAACTCTCCTTTGTCTCTCTCCTCAATCTGTCCTGCGTTTTCCTTGTTTATTTTTTGCCCTGCCGCCTGTCAAACAAAATGTTGAAGGGTATACGAGGGGACAGACAAGAGCATGTCATGCAGCGAGGCAGCGTCGCATGTGCGCTTTTTTGTCTGTGTATGTGCGTCACGACACACTTCTCTGAGAAAGAATATGAGCATTTGAAGAGGGGGATTCTCAAACCGCAGTATAAACTCATCTGCCTTTACATTTCTGGGGAGGTGCACATCAGGCTATGGCATACCCACGATTTGATGCAGAAGTATAAATCACACTTAAGCCTGCACTGGCTGAGGTCATGTTGGTCCAGCTAGAGCCCAGCAAAGCCTGCAGACTCTCCAAATGCTGTTTAGTGCAAACAGCAACTGTACCGTCTGCCATGAATACGGACTCACAAGCTGATGTCATATTCCCTCAGCTTAATGGGCCGAACCTAAACAAAACTAAACATTTTGTAGCCTCATCTTTGAGAAAAAGACACAACTGCTTAAACCTTGTATCAATACCCGTGTATCAATAGTTTTACAATTACAATCAATTTTGGAAAAATGACTCAAGCCTCAGAGCCAGATCTGGCATTGTACCCAACAGGTTACATGGTCTAAACAAAATAGAGTTTACAGAGTACGAATCACTACTCAGGTTATATCTTCTGACATGATAAAACCTGACACCATTTCATTTGGCAAATAGGGCAAATGTATTTTATGGGACTTCAGTTAAGGAGGATGGAATTCTCCTTTGTCGTGTCTCCCCCACTTTGTAATTAAGGTAAACAGATGCAGGTGCACCTTCATATAGAATTGAGGAAGTGACGATGTACATTATGTAAACAAGTGTTTGAAAAGGTAAAAGGTTTGTGCATGTTCTCATCTGTGCTGCATGCGTATAATCTCCATTATATTCCTCCTTTTGTTGTAAAATGTCAGATTACAGGGCATTTGTCTGTATCTCTGTGTCTGTGGCCCTCCAACCATCCATCCAGCAAACATCTGTTCTGCTTTTGGCTCTGCTTTGTGTTGTACCCTCCCAGGAGCCAGACAGCAGCGTTTTTGTGGGGTTTTTTTGGCTTGTCCTCACTGGCCAGGGTTAAGCCGCTGTGTGGCCTGTCTGGTTA